AGAATCTGCTGGGGAGGATAATTGAGGGAGAAAGAAGGAAAATGAAGTGAGATATTTTTCTTCATCTTTCTCCTATACCTAATAGCACATCGTGATATCAAAGTTTCATTAACGTTATAAATTTCGCTCGAAGAAACGGCGCCCAGCTGCAGCTGAGTAAACGTTTACCATCGGAAAATGATTTTAGGAAAACCGCGAAAACTTCGCGCTATATATATACGATTCCGCAGGTACTTCACGAAATAGGTCATCTAAACACTTCACTTCACAGCCCTTGCGCACTTCGTGTGCCGCAAGTAGATAGATAGATATATAAATGCATAAGCCGAGCACACACACTTATATTTATCTATATTACTTCGAAGCTGCCTTTTACTTCGGATAATATGGCGCAAAAAAAAGTTCGCGTGTGTGCGCTATGTGAGCTTCGCGGGAGCCCGAAGTTTTGGATATAATCGATGCATATAGCCAACTCCTGCAAGCTCGCGAGCTTTTATTCGGAAATAATGAACGACACCCGATCGTAACTTTGGGTTATATTCAAAAAAAACCGCCAAAAAACGTCACTCGCAGGCCGTGCTTCAAGCTTGAATGTTCGCGATCGCATGATATAAAAATCGTTGAAAAAAAAAATGTGATCCCTGTCGATGCACGAGATCTAGTTCTTTAAACAATATGGACGCGTGAAGTAAAAAAAAAAGAAAAAAATTCAATTACATCCGATTCGCGATAAATGCGTACTTTTATTTATCCCGAAACTTCCATACCATCCCGTAGAGCGACTCCGCGCCACAAGTAGGTTACGCCGCTTTACGATCATACGACAGCAAAGACAGCAAAGGGTAAAAAAAGGAAAAAAAAAATTAAATGCGTATGCGTCGGGGGGGTCGGTTTTTATGACAGATACGCGCGTACATGTAATACCGTGAGGGAACTAGCGCAGGGGTATATATAGGCAGGCAGAGGCAGATCGAGATCGAAAACGAAACTGCGTCGTGGTGTGCGCACAGGACTCCACGTGTGAGCGAACGATATATACATACGTAAATGTGTATATTATACATGTGCATCCATGCTGCATCTATGTATCCGTATATATCGATTGTATACCGCTGCTTCGCGCGCGGCTACATTTTCTCTCCTCCTCCCACTGCTGCCTAGTGCTGCTACCACTACCACTATCCTACTACCACTACCACTACTACTTCTTCTTCTTCTTCTTCTTCTTCTGCTTCTCTCCGACGAGCTAGTAGTATACTTCCGCTTTATGTACAGACGGCAGTAAATAACGTTGAAAAGCTCCGAGAGTAGAAAGAGAGAGAGAGGCTATCGCTCGTGATGCTCCTTCTTTTATCTCTCTTTCTCTCTTTCTTGCCGCTCTTTATTGCCCTTTTTCACTGTCTTACTTTTGAGAAAGGGGGAGAGAGACAGCAGAGAGAGAGAGGAGGTAAAGTCGCTTCTTTTTCTGGCCTCTTCCTCCTCCCTTTTATTTTATTTTATTTTTTTTTATATTTCACTTTCTTCCTGTTTTTCTTTAGCCGACCGCGCGCACGGACTTTTCGGATGTACCTCCGCTTCCTTGTGCCACTACTACGGTGGGCTGTTTCTTCTTTCTTTTTTTTTTGTACGACCCTTCCTATATACCCTCGTACCTCCTTCAAATCTCCCATTACCCACAACAAGAGAAATATCACCCGAGCTTCCGGCTCGTCCTCCTCGTCGTCGTCTCTTCGTGATTTCGATTTTTCGCTTGGTTGGCCGATAAATAGCTACTAGGGCGCGCGCGCGCGCCCCAGCCCCCGTGTGTCCCCGACACACACACTACTAACGCATACACACGGCGATATACACCGTCGTCGTCGCGCATGGCGAGCGTTCGAAGTATTCGAACAATTTACAAGCCTCCGGGCCCGGTGAGAGAAGGCATTCTTCTTCTTCTTCGTCTTCTTCAACGGCGGCTGTGGTTGGTGTTGGGTGCGAACTATTAGCAGAAGCTTCTTTCGAAAGTTTAAATAAGAAAACCGATCGCGGGCATTATTATGTGAATACAGTACGCAATGAGCGTTTCGATCGACCTTGAACTCGATTATATAATCGACGATTAATTCCGATGACAAAGAGTCATTTTGTATAATTCAGCTCTCTGTACTCTCGTTCCCTCTATTTTAGTCACGCAGTTACAAACTTCACACGACACGAGGACGATGGGTATAGAGGCGCTCGCAAAATCGAACAGAGGGCCAATGTAGAGATAGCCCTAAGTGTATGTAGATATATGCCGCTGCTGCTGGTACTGCAAGCGAAGCTGTCATCCGAATGAAAGGGGGGAAACGAGCGAGTAGAGGGAAAAATAAAGAGTCGACAGAAATGATGAGGCTTGGACTAATTTGCGGGAACGAGAGCCCGAGAGCTCCGAACCGAACCGAACCGACCGAGAGAGAGAGAGAGAGAGGCAGAGTAAGAGAGATAGCTCGACGAAGGGCGAGCATCCGGCCATGTGCTGCGACTACTACTACTACTACGTATACCCGCGCCACAGGGGAATAGACCATCAAACCGATTGTAATCAGACCGCCCCTCCCTGGACATCCGATTCCCAATGTTTCGCACCTAGCCGACGCCGTTATATATATCCCTTTTCCCTTTCTCTCCCTCTCTCGTTCTCTTTAACCGGACCTTTTATCAACTATCTCTTTTCGGACTTGAAATAAATATAACCGAGCGTTGAACGACTTTAGTTTTTTCTCTCTCGTTCGATTATGTAATATTTTTTGAGATTATACTCGGGTTTTCATTGCAATTTTTAAACAACAATATTTTTACGCTTACTTATAGCCATTCGTATTCATCACCCCCTTTTTACAGGCGCGCGCACCCACACAACCGACGACGTAACTCTCATTTCGCTGCAGCTGCAGCTGCTGCTGCGGAGAAGAAATTCCACGATTTTACTTTGTCACCCACATTTTTTCATCTCATTTGTCTCTCTCTCCCTACCCACTCTCTCTCGCTCTCTGTGCCGTCGTCTCTTTTTCTCTTTCTGAGTTTTATTACACGTGTCTGGTTTTACGGCTGCTTCTGCACAGCATAGTGGTAGAAGCAGTAGTAGAAGTAGTAGTAGTCTAGCCCGAGCTTAGGAGACGCGAGAGTCGTCGTCGTCGTCGTCTTCCTCCTCCTTCTTCTTCTCGACGCCAGGCGTCGAGCTGCCAGACTAGATATAGAAAAGGACGCGTCTCTCGGCAACCAAGCAGCAGCAGCGGCGAGCTATAACTAACTGCCTACTCGCTCGGCCACTAACTCGATTTTCGACTGTAAGCTACGCCCTTTTTATTTTCTTATCGCATTTTCTTAGACCCCCTGCCCGTGAAAGCTTCTTCCCCCGGCGAAAGAAGAGTAAGAAAACCGGCGTATAACCGACGAATTCTAAGCCAGTGAGTATAAGTATACGCATGTTGAGAGAGTAAAAAAAAGGAAAGAGAAAAGAAAAAGGAAAAAAGTTGCAATAAAAGAAATTAGAAAGTGCGCGGGGGTGGGCTGGGTAGAGAGAGAGATTGACAGATTTATCGGCGTACTTTGGCTTCATGATCCGAGCGCTCGAGCCAAAGAGTGAGAGAGTGAAAGAGAACTGGAGCGTGGGAGAGACGCGCCGATATCTTTCAAAGAAAAATACTCGGGCGCGCGCGCGCAAAGTTCAAGCTTACGTACGCGCGATTGATCAATCATTCGTCGAGCTTCGTTTCCTTTCGCGCTGTACATAACTTTATATATCTATTTTTTTTTCTTCTTCTACTTCTTCTTCTTCTTCCTCTTCGCCTCTCTCTCTCTCTCGCTTAACGGCTCTTCACAATCGCATTAAGTTTTGGTGCTGAAAAAGATATCTCCTCGCTCGTCCTCGTCGTCTTCGTCGTCGTTGGAGACATAATAAACATCCGTGTCGGAAAAGAGAGAGAGAGAGAGCTGCTACTGCTGCAAAAGTGGAGAAAGAGGACGTATATATAGTCATATATTTCATACAGAACGTATAGTGTGTATGGTATACACGCGGGCTCTCTCTCTCTCTCTCTCTCGTACCGGTTTGTGTATGCAAGTGATAATAGTCGAGAAGCGTAAAATCAGAGTGAGAGAGGGAGGCAGGGAAGGGGAGGTAGAGGCAACGAAGAGAGAGCGAGAGAGAGAGAGGTCTGGGCTTTCAGCAGCCCTATTAAAATTGCACCCGTTAATTTAGCATCGCATCCCGCTGGGCTACTGCATCTCTCGCTCTCTCTCTCTCTCCCTATATTTATACAGGGCTTTGTTTGTCTTCGCCTCGGTATAAAGGCCCGCGGGAACATAAAGCTACCGAGAGACCTACCTCTTCTACCCAACTGTATGTGTATGTGTGTGTGTGACTCTCTCTCTCTCTCTCTCTCTCTCTCTCTCGCTGTCCCTCGCTGCTGCTATATGTGCTATGTGTCCACGGCAGGTAGAGCATAGCTAGCTGCACACACACACACAGAGCCCAGCGCATGCGCCCAGGTAAACGCGTGTCTATATACCATATACTATATGCACAGAGAGCGAGGCCTATACACGTCGACGACGACGACGACGGGTTGAAAGCTCGACCAGCATTAAAGATGCAATATAGTTAATCTTTGTAATCTTTGCTGCCGAGTCTCTATACCGACTCGACGCCCCTCTCCCCGTATATCTATATGATACATAATATAAGTTTGATCTAATTTTCAGAGCCGCGCCATAGGCCTTAACTTTATACACATATATACCGTATACCGTTTTGTTGTTATTATCGTGCACGACCGCTCAACCTTTTGACGAGCGACGATCATCGTGTATTTATACACACGCTTGTACATATACCTGCTGCTTGTGATTTATTTTTCATTGATTGACGATATATTTGTCTTACGCGTGTGTTTCTTATGCTTTACGTCCAACATTTATACATATAATATATATGAAGTTTAAACTAACTTTTTGAACCTTCTTGTCCGTTTCAGAACACTACCACATATTTGTCGGAGATCTGAGCCCGGAGATCGAGACGCAAACCCTGAGGGAAGCCTTCGCCCCTTTCGGAGAAATCTCGTAAGTTTTACTTACTACTACTACTACCACTTGAAACTCTCACCGCTCGTCCGACAAAGTTGGCCTATAGCGTGGGAGAGACTTGACTCTCTCCATGTAGACGCGTGTGCATATACGACGATGTCGTGCTACTGCTTCTGCTGCTACGGAGGTGGTGGTGGTGCTTTTCCCAACGACGACTAGCAGAGGCAGAGCTAGACTCGCTCGCTTAGCGTACACATAGCCCGAGCGGCGCGTTATATAACACACACACACACATACATGTGCACACTTCACTTAAGCGGCCGCCCCCGGTATACACGAGAACTTGTTTATAGGAATGGACAATCTTGTGCGCGCTTCGAGTTTGTCTAGAGTAGTTTGCGCGGTATATAGGCAGGAGGGCCACGAGATGATGATTTTTTTTTGTCGACGCGACGACGATCTTTCACGGGTCAGCGGATCGTTATGAATATATATAGGGAAACCAGGAGGAGTTGTGCAGCTCCCTTTTCACCGCCCGGTAAGATAGAGAGAGAGGAATAGATATATAATAATGACGAGGCTCGAACTTTCCGACTGTGTGCACACACGTATACGGTATACCAGTCGTAACGAGCTTTAACGACACTTTACTACTTGTGTATATACTCTTCGAGATACACTTTTTATCCGGAGCCCTTTTCCTCCTGTTCTTCTTCTTTCTTTCTTTCTTTCGTACCAATCGAAATCGACTCAACGTTCCATCCTCGTATATATAGTTGCGCACGAAGACTCTTATCTGTCCTTCTTCTTTTTTGCTGCATACCTTGGTTTCGAGCGGTCTTCTAACCTATAATGTTCTAGGCGCGGAGCTTTATGCCGATTTTGAGCGCGTACTGCTGCGGAATTCTTTAAGAACCGAAAAAAGAATCACCGCGCATTTCACAACAATGCCTTGATTTATACAAGTACGTTTACTTTGCCACTTGGAGATTTACAGAAAATGGTACTCTCCATCTAGCGGCGAAGGCTCAAAGTGGCTGAAAACTGGTCTAAATGATCTGAAACGATTGTATTGTCATTTGAAATGCGCGCGATGTTTGTAACACAATTGCAACTGAGAAATATCGCGAAAAACGAATCTAATTAATGACAATGCCCTTTTAAACATTGTAAATAAAGTCACCTTTTGTTCGCGAGTTAATTTTTAATGTTTGAGTACAACAACCAGGGTAATGAACGAGATTCAAGTTCTCTCTCGGACGAGAGGCGTGCCTTTGGGTAAGAAGAGGCTGACGTGAGTGTTTGTCAACTTTAATTAACACAACATAATGAAATCATCGACCTCGAGCTGCATGCATAGCAGGAAATTAAGCCACGTAGAGTAATGTACGCTCATACTTTATGCTGTATACGTGTCTGTTTATATTCATCAAAACTTATACTTGAATTTACACTTGTGCATAATACGTTCATTTCAAGCACAAAGACTGGAAAATCGTGCCGATATCATTTCGCGGTGTATAAGCCGCGAGTAATTTTTCGATCGCTCATTGTTTCATTTGCCGATGCTTCTCGCATTAATCGCGCAGTCGAGGTCTCCGTTACATCACTCGATATCGACACTGCAGTTAGCATATTATATATGTAGCAGCGAGGCTTGGCGCTTTGAGAGAACTTTTCAATCGGCCCCAAACTGGCGCAAATCGTTTTGCGCGTCTTCTTCTCTTTCGTTCTTCTTTTTCTTCGACGCGAACGAATTTTCCTTTTTTTTCCCACTCGCTCTCTCTCTCGCTCCTTTTCGAAGAAAATACTACGTCAATAGGCTCTCGAAGAGTTTCGCTAGCCCAATAGCTAACTAATCAGATTACGCAATTAAAATGTCGTCGCTCGAGCTCGCAAAATCGAGAGTCCTTGAACTTTCTGCGCGCGCGACTATTTCCTCTCTCCCTCTCTTACATTTGCTCCCTCTTCCTCTCCCCGCGCGCAGCCCCTTCGCTCTTCAAAAGTACATACTTCAATTGTAAATACCGAGAGCAAGAAAGAGAGAAAGAGAGAGACAAAGAGAGTTTGTGTTCGTAAATACTAAAAGTATTTACAGCTTTTCGCGAGAGAGCCGAGGCACTATATATCGAGCTTACAACTCGGCAGCCCAAGACCTGCAGCAGCTCTCGGTATGTACACGCGAGGCAGCGGAGAGTGCAGGGCGTTTATGTGTGCATGTGTATATACGTGTATATATGTGTACGTACGATACTTGAATTCTCGTGTAATTAATATCCCACGCGCGCGCGCGCGGCACAGTAGTGTGAATGAAACTCGGCGCGTTGGAGTAGTGCAGTGTAGTAGCTGTATATACGCGGACACATATACACGTACCGCTACTTCTCTCTCTCTCTCTCTCTCTGCAGAGCTGAAATGCAGTCATTAACGCGAAACCTTCCTATTACCAACAAAACTCGAGTGACAAAATCTGCAGTGCAGCGGTATAGCTGTATATATAGTGTGTGTACGAGAGAGAGCGAGCGAGAGAGTTTTTAAAGTCGAGAGGAAACGAGAGGAAAATTGTTAAACGCAAAATGTATATATAACTGCTGCGCTAGCACGCGCTCCCACTCTGTGTGTGTGTGGGTTGTGTAATTTTTTTTTTCTTCGCTCTCTTTTTTTTTTTTTACTTCATTCGCGTTTTGTACTCTTACGTACACGCGGATTTAAGTTGAAAAATACAGTGTGCGCGATACCTGCGGGGCAGTTTGAGAAAAAAAAACCCTCCCGCGTTTTTTTTTTACTCCCGCTCTCCGTGCCTGCTTTGCTTTAAATGCATTTACGATTGACGAGGGATAAGAAGCGGGTTTAAACTGATAAGAAAATAAAATATCGCTTACTTGTGTATACACGCGCCGCAGCGAGCCGCCCCACGAACGAGCTCGCGAAGCTTATACTGCTACACCGTGTGCTGCGGCACAGAGCATTTAAGCTGAAATATTAAAAAGAAAATTTCTGTAAAGTCGATCTCGGAAAAGGGTGTGCGTGTGTGTATGTGTATAATCGTGTATTTCTTGAGCTCCCTTAAAATTTTCCGAGCGATTATTCAATGTAAGCCCGAGCGACACTCGACTGCACGATGTCAGCTGCTTTTTTATCTCTTTTTACTTTTTTTTCTTTAATTACATGTGTGTATTTATTCGTGAATATCTTCTTCTTCTTTTTTTCCTTCCCAAGTTACCAAATCAATTGCTCAGAGTAGTGGGTAGCAGCTGGAGGTAGGTTTTCGTATATACGCCTCGTACGTTGTGTGTATATATATCTTTAAAAAGCTCATGAAATGCTGCCACGCTCGGTTTTCTTCTTTATATTGTTTTATCGGCACACACTCTCGCGCGCGAGCTTTTTCTTTCCAGCCAAGCTCCGCCGCTGCTGTTGCTGCTGCCGTGAGTACGTTTGTGTGTCTGCCGCGTGGTAGTCCTTTATTTTTCTCTTCTTCTTTTTTTTTTTTTTTGCGCCGTGTACGAGCAGCCTAGTAGTAGTCTCCAAAAGCTTTTCACTCTACGCCTGCCTGCCTGACTACTTTTTTTTTCTTCTTCTTCTTCGTTTTTCTCGTCATCGTCCTTCGCTTACCTTGTCCTCCTCCTCCTCCTCCTCCTACTCTTTTTACTTGTACTTATACGAACTTTTTCTCATTAACTTCGCTACATACACGGTATATAAATAAAAAAAAGGAACGAAAAGCTCGAGCAAAAGAGTATACACACACACACACACACACACATAGTGAGCAATTAAATTCTACTTTGATATGCGATCGCGCGCCGTTGATGGTGGTGGCGGTGGCTCGCACGAGGGATACATTTCGTCGATCGCATGCGCGTCGGATTCGAGAGACCCGATGTTTCGAATGTACTCGCCTCGATTAATTTGCCGTATTTAGAGATGATGTGCTGCTGCTGCTGCTGCTGCTGGCTCAGAGCTTGAACGAACCGAGCGCAAACGGGTGGAGGAGGGAGTCGAAGGATGAGGAGGAGGAAATCGAGAGAGAGAGAGAGAGAGAGAGCTGCATTAAGAGTACGGGGGATATTCTTTCTGACCGCAAATCCCACAGCAGCGCGGCTGATTAGCTTTGCCCGGGGCTAGTATAGTGGCTACACACACACACATACACATTCACCTCGCGTTCATTGCGCGCTTATATATATACGAACGAAGAGGCGGAGGCGGCGGCGACGGCGATATCAGAAAGCCGAGGTCCGCTTTGATGAGTGCCTTGGCTCGCCTCACACCCCTCCCGTCGGGGCGCGCGCGCGCCCATATACACGGTGACGATATATACCTGTGTACGTGTGCGCACACACATACACACATACATACACCCGCACCCCCGTGTATAAAACACACACGCGTACTCGTACATAGACGAGTGCGCGCGCCGATCAATTATACAAGCGCGCCGCAAAATTGCCGCGTCCCCAGATACGGCTGATCCGCTTTCGACATGCGATCGCGTATATACACACAGGTATACGCTCGACTATGTGTGTGTGTGTAAGTGTACATACGTACCTTCAACAGCAGCAGCAGCAGCAGCAGCAGTTCGTTCGTCGCCACCCTCTCCCTCAAATGCATGCGGCCAGACGATTTACGCTGCCTCGTCCCGTGGGTTAATACACGCGGGCGCGCTGTGTGTGTGTGTGTGTGTGTACTGTATATGCGAGGGATAGAGAGCTGCCATGTATGTTTATTATGGCGTTCGTTGACCATCGCCTGCACATACACACATATACCGTGTATAAGCGTGTAACACAGCGCTCGAGCTGCGAGATTTTGAGCCGTGCAGCTGCTAGTAATAAACGCGTGTAGCGAGAAAACGAGCGAGAGAGAAAAATATTTAAACCGAAGTCGCTTAGGTCATATTTTTTGTAATTGTTTATATCCGACGTGACGGTGTAATTTTATTATTTATCAAAATGAGGATAGAAATGGTCAAGACTTTTTAAATATTTATGGAGTATGACACAGTGATTATATTACCTCGTGCTTTGCCT